CGCTGAATGGTGGGTTACGCATTCGATGGCATCAAGTTTGACAAAGAAGCGTGTCTTGAGGTCATCGAAATGGCCAGAGTGCGGATTGAGCAGCTACAAAAGGTGGGACAGCGACAGCAAGGGGAGAACATGGAAGTCGAAGGGAAAGACGCGTCGAGTCACATTGTGACAGTAACGCGTAGTCTCTCCTAGACAGACGCTTCAACAATTTTCGATCTCGTACCTCGAAGTAACGCGTAACTTGCGTATCTTGCCCATGTCGATCTGCATGTCTGCACGGAGTCGTGACGGACTGGGACAAAAGTATAATTGATTCTGATCTATTTCGCAGTCACAAAACTCATACATGCCCAGGAAAGCGCACTGTGAGTTTCAAACTAAACTCGTCAAGTTATATTCAACGTAAACAATACGAAGAGCCTGAGTCATGTGGGTGGCTAAAGCTGTTTGAAGCATGGGTCCGCGAATGCTGAACAGATAGACTCACTTTCGGCGCATACATCTGAGGAGCCCTCTCAAACAGCATGCTCAACACGTCCACGGCAGCGGAGAAGCAGCGAGCAAGCGGCGTGGACGTCGTGAGGGGGTTTCGGACCATGTCGGGCGGCCTCTGCTGAAACGCCGTGTGCCCGCGTGGGGTCATCTGCACGATGAAGCCTTTGGCGATGCAGTGGGCCTGTGGAGAGGTAGGACGGTAAAGGTGGTGCATCCCCCATCTACCCATTGTACCAGCCGGAGCTGTCTCCCGTATTTGCACCGTCTGCTTCGAGAACCCGCGGCTGCCCTGACTCGACCCGCCTTCGTGGTCCTCCATGCCCTCTCCGCAGCCTGCTACTCCGATCCTCCACGAATAAATCTTCGAGATCCCCGACACTTCCCTCGGCGTGTCCCCCCGCATCCTCGGTCTCGCCGTCCTCCTCCGTGCCGCCGACGGCCTCATCAACACCACCTCCCCATTCGCACTAGGACATCCTCGTGCCTGTGAGCCACCTCTCCTCGCGCGGCGGCGCACGACTCCTGCCCGCGGCATAACCCCCACCCCAGCCTCTCTGCCGTATCTGCACCCCACACCGGACACGACGCCCCTGACCAGCTTTGAGCGGCCCTTACACACGCACACACGATCCACCCTCGCACCACCTTCGGCCTAACGCGTCCCTTCGTGGATGTTCCCCCGCCCGCAGCCGCTGCGCTCCACAACGCTCCCGCTCGTGATAGCGTTCCTTCCGCCGCGTGCAAGGCCCACCGCTCCTCGCAAATCCGGCCAACCGAACGCGCCGCCGTAATAGAGCTCGAACCATCAAGTCCCTTTTCCTGACCCCCTTCCTCGTCACCTCCACCCTCCCGCGCCACACCCATTCCTCATTCTCATCCTCGTCCATATTTGCACCCACCAAACACACCCCTCAGCCCGCCTCTCTGCGTGTGCCTAAACGCGGGCCGCAAAAGCGTGGACGTCGGCGGAGTATCCGCTACGCGTAGTCAAGGAACGCCCATGATGCCGCTATTGCTATTACCCCGGCCCGTTCGCAACTGCCGACGGCGGGGGCGGTGCGGTGCGGGAGTGCGAATGCGAATGCGAATGCGGGATGGTGGGAGGTGCGGCGTGAGGTGCGGATGGGGATGGGGTGCGGAGTAGGAGGGAAGACGGGGGTAGGGGGGACGGGAAGGGGGACGACAGGTGGGCGCGCGTATGGGGCGGGTGGGCTTTGATGTGGTAGGTCGACGTCGATGCGCCCGCGGACGATCACAGGAAGCGGGGGCAGCGCGGGTCTGCGGCGCGTCTGCCACCCAAACTCCTGTCGTCTCTCTCTCTCGTCGGGCGCATCACCCCTTGCGTCTCTCGCCCTCCTCTCTGCACCCTCCACCCCACTCTCGCACCCAACTCACAACTCGAACTCCCACACCAATCCCACTCCCAACCCCCCTCTCTCTCTAATACCAGATTAAACTCGACGACGCACGCGCCTTCGCCTTCCCACTCGCCACTAGCAGCGCACTGTGTGACGTGTCGTACCGAAAGCACTCGAGCGGCATGATCGAGCACATGCCGCATGACTCATTCGGTCAATCCGTAGCCTGTATGCAGTATGATCAGTATGGTGGGGAGGCGATGATGGGGAGGGGCGTGAGGATGGGAACGCAAGGGAGAAGAGGTGGGAGGAGAGGCGAAGAGAAGGGAAGGGACCGCGATCAGCATGAAGACAATGACGGCGACGGCAGCACAGACGGCTCGTCCCTCGCTCGTCGTCAATCCCCCCTCTCCTCACGCTATCACGTACATGCCTCCCGTACGCACGGCAGAGAAAAACCGAAGAACAAAAAAAGGCAAAAACGCACCACTTCTTCACCTCGACCGCGCCGCGGGCACGCTCCCGCGGACACGTCCGCCGTCGACGACTGTCACCGCATAGTCCTCTGGCTGATCGAGCCCAATGAATTTCCTCTGCCACGTCATCGTGGCTTGAGCCTCTCGAACTGTCGAACGTGAGCTGTAGGAGCGTGTTGCGTGCGCTCGTCCAGGAAAAGGGGCTGTCGACCTCGTGTGTGGGGCTCAAGGACGACGTGTGGTGGGGCGAGGAGGGGTGCGGAATCGAGGGGATTGGGGGTGAGAGGGAAAGTCTTCGTCTGCACTGCGCCTGCGTAGACAAAAGTCAGCAGTACACTCTGTACACTGAGGAAGTACTGACCGGTCCCTTCTCTTCGGTAGGATCCACGTCTCCCGAGTTTGCGAATCGACTGAGGAGCTTCGGCGTGAAGCTACGGGAGCGCGTATCTGGCTATCTGCAAAAACGCTCAGCGGCGTCGAACGTGGACTCCCATCTCCCCCAATGCGCGAGCGGACGATCGTGTTGAGGTACTCAGCAACTTCCTCGAATGCGCGCGAGGTTTGGACGTCTTTGAGGCGGAACACGCACTCGTCGTCGGGCGGCACGGATAAAATGATTCGGGTGGATTCGAGGCTGCAGAGCGAACGTGCGCTCCTGGCGTGCAAGCCGTCCGCGAGGAGAAACGTCGGCACGGTAACGTCCGCCGACGTGATTTCCAGCGCCGTGGCTAGCGATCACGACGATGCCGCCAAGCGAAGAGCTTCCGCACGTTCACCTGCGCAAGTTGGGGTTTGGGGTCAGCCCATACTCTGTTAGTCGAATATGACTGCGGCACACCTCGAGGAACTTGCTCAGCTTCGTCCTCCGTAATTAGGACTTATACATGCGATTTGACAGCGCCCGAGTCGGGGATGATGCTACCATTCAAGACAGAGTGCTGTGTGCATGGGAGGGGAGGTGTTTGACGGTGCAGAGAGGCAGAGGTTGCGGTGGAAGGCGAGGCGGAGCTTTTCGTCGTCGTCGCGCGGAAGAAAGCAAGAAAGTCACGATTGTGACATAGCCTCAGGCGGCCTAGTGACACACAGTGAACAACGTCGAAAGTTCAACGTTGTGCGGCGTTTAGAATGAGATACAACATCACAGGATGTCGTAGAAATGGCACAGAAACCAGCGATAGGAAAAGAATACCAAAAGATAATCATCATATCCCAAAACAAGTCGACGGAGCCCAAAAAGTTGCTGTTTTGTACATTTTAAACTGGATTGTGATATCATAACCTGAGGAGTGGGTGGAGACCATGGGCATATACCAAAGCCGCCTCAAATGGGAATAAGAAATATAGATTTGGAGTAGAGAGAAGAAAATCGGAATCTGTGACATAAACATTTCCCACGGTGAGTAAGGGACCATTAGATTTCAATCTAATGAACCCAATCGACCTACTGACGGCTCCAAAATACGGTCACAAAAAGCTAATGAATTTAAGCACTGCCACTATTTAGTGTTACACGTTCAAACGCTGTAGGGACGCATCGAGGTCCAGCCATTTCTCAGTACACGAAAATATTAAAGAACGATTACATAAGTACTCGTAATTAGGGACACAAAAGCCCTGCCCGTGAGGAAGGTAGGTAGGTAGGTAGGTATCATTACACGGCCGGTCCGAATCACGAACGCCGGTTCCAGGGATTTTCCCGGTGTACAAGCAAGTAATTACACCTTCGCCCCTGGGCCTCCTCTTGCCATCAGAACCAAGAACGCAGACCCCATAGGTTTCCCCATGCCCCACGGTACGGCCAAGACAACAGAAAGAAGCATAGAAAAATTTAACCTGAAACTAGCCGGTCAGTTAACTCATCCTCGATATACAGGTGTCGCATAGAACACTTCAAGCACCTGGTGCGCAAATTTACCCAGGAGAACAATCGTTGAACGCTCATATAGGATTGCTTTTAATAGGGCAATCGGATTGAGTTCAACCACCAATTTCTGCATTTTCGGCACAGCTCGTTGAAGTTTGGAAACAAATTCTCGGCGCAGTTCTAGAATAGCAGGGCTAGCCTGACATTCCAATAGTGCGTGCTCCGGACTTTCCACCATGACTATCACTTCAGGCTATATAAAACTAGACCTCACTAGGCCCCTCCTGACCAAGTGAAGGTTGGGCCTATTGGGGGTGGAATCGGTGGTTGCGTACCATAGCGCTGGGCGCAACCACACCGTTGGACGCAACCATGGGCCCAGCCATGGGTGTGTCCATGGGTCCGTGACGTGACCCCCGTGGATACATCCACAGCACAATTGGAGGCAACCATGCTGCGCTCGCGCAGCTCGATTTTTGAATTTCAGCACGCTCGTTTGACCGTTTTCGCTGCTCTGTGGAGCTTGTCCATTCAAGCAATGATAGGCACCCCTGTATCGTGTGCCAGCTTTACGCAGCAGCGACTAACACCTCTCTCTTGCCTGCCCTGCTCGCTTCGCCTGCTTCACTCGTCTTGTACCCTGCCGCCCTGCTCTCTTTACAAAATCTGTTTCATTATGCAAAGTCCCTTAGTATACACCACACCAACCTTTTTTTTTTATACAAAAATCTAAAAGGTGCAATTCTGTATTTGTTCCATGCACATCGCGTTGGAACACATATAATTCTCATTTTTATCCTTTATCATGGCAACATGGTGTAATGGTTATGCCAAAGTCGTTCTGTTGACTTATGGCATCAAGGCCTGGGTTCGATTCCCACTGCTGCCGTATTTTAGGAGTTCAATCCCATTTTTTTCCATAGCAGATGTAATTTGCTGGCAATCAATATCTTGGCCCATCTTATTCGAATTGGCGCCATTGGACACATCCATGCCCTTGCCATGGACACGTCCACACTGATTCTGGATGCATCCAGTGTTTTTTTTTCCCCGGGGCTGGATGCATCCACATATTCGTGATGGATGCATCCAAGGGGCCGTGGATGCGTCCACCGCTTTTCAGTCCAAGCCGTGGATGCACCCATCGCATTTTCAGGCCACCCATGGACACATCCATGGTGTCATACATGGATGTGTCCACAGTGTTGTTTTTTTTACACCATGGGTGCACCCAAAACAATTGGACACGACCATTCCTGTGTGGACACATCCACCACCGATGGCTAACGGTGTGGGCGCACCCACGGCCGGTGGACGCGTCCATTGCTGTAACCACCGCGCATGGATGTGTCCACACGCAACTCCGTGGATGCGTCCACCACCGGAGTCCAACGGCGTGGGTGCGACCAAGGCCGGTGGACCCGTCCATCGCTGTATCCACCGCGCGTGGACGCGTCCATCCCTTTGTTCAGAATGTGATGGATGTATCCACAGCTGAGGCCCCCTTGCTTCGAGATTGTACGCAGTACCATATATTGAAATATATACATCTTGTCCCCTTGCACGAATCCGCAATCAGTGGCCCAAGACTATCCTTTGACTCGATTCGGCTACGAACCTCTACGTCATTCTATTTCTATTTCGTGTTCACCCGGGCAAAATTCCCATATCGGGCCCGTAGCGTTTGTTGTTCATTGTTTGGCATCACCCTCGTTTGACCATGACATTCTTGTATTCTTGTATTCGTTGCCCCAAGCAATCGTATCCCTGTATTCTATTTCATATTCGTAGCTAGTACTGTTATGTTCTATCTACAAATACAAGACCGTGGTGGTGTCACCGATTCAGGTAAAGCAATGGAACTGGCGCTTGTTTGGGCGCTAAACACTTTCCCGCAGCTCATAGCACAATTGAAACACCCTTCAAAGCAAACGGCATGATTTTTTTTTTATAAATAAACAGGGTGGTATTCTGGTGTAATCAACAAATCACAAAGTCGAAGTCGTCCTATTCTATTGCTTGTTACAAAGATATTGCGAAAGTACTCTACTCGTAGGCAGTGCGGCGGCGCTTCTCCGCGCGTTCAACAGCCTCGGCATACTCGGCCTTCCGCTTCTCGAGCGCTCGCAATTCTGCGTGAGGTCATCCATCAACGCACATGCCTCCCTCCATGATTTATCCATCTCCGCGTGGGCGGCTAAGTACTCACGCCAGTCGTTGTCCAGTCGGGTCGGAGACAAGTCCAAGCCAGCCGGCAAGCGGTGGGTGAACTGGATACACTGGGAGCAGCCTGGGCATCGCGCCCTTCGTCGTCGGGCAAGCGGGTGGGTGAACTGGATGCACTGGGAGCAGGTTGGGCATCGCGCCGTTCGGCGTCGTCTTCTTTCGAGCTGAGCGTTGCCCCTTCTAACCAAAAATTAGATCCGGGCCGCCATTCAATACCCAGGCACGTACCATCATCGCGGCTGGTGCGCGCCACCCTACACCAGGATGGAAGAAGAGGAAGCCTCGCTGTCTCTCGGGATTTGATGACGCCCCCGGCCGTACACTTGTCTATAAACAACATATCAGCTACCCTTGCAGCACATTCACAAATTAAGAGGGCACGAACCTTCTTTCACCTCAGCCGACGCAGCGTAGAAGCCTGGGGGCGTCGTTGCGGGTGAAGGTGTAGCTGGTGAAGGCGTCGAGGGCGAAGGTGTTGCAGGAGACGGCGTCGCGGGAGACGGCGTCGCGGGAGAAGGCGTCGCGGGAGACGGCGTCGCGGGAGAAGGCGTCGCGGGAGACGGCGTCGCAGGAGACGGCGTTGCAGGAGACGGCGTCGCGAGGACGCACACTTGTTGCCCCGTGGCCGCGGTGGCACGGAAAAATTGGGGGAGGGTCGTCTGCTGGGACATGAGCACAAGGTGTGGGTGAAGATAGTATTTTGCGCACCAACGACGAGAATCCAGGGGTTTATATATCCTGGCAGCCCTGCCATTGTGCTCTCTCACACACGGATACCAATTCCAAACGATTGGTCGTTCCCTTGCAGAATTCCACCATTGTTCCAAATGAACCAATTCCAAACGCTTGGTCGTTTCCACCATACCCTCAAAATTCCACCATTGTTCCCAGCGAATACCAATTCCAGGACGATCCACATTGTGGCAATTCTACAAAGCGTTGCTGCTTTGTGCTGCATTGTCCGGGATCCACTCGGTGGGATAGAACACAATCCCTGCATTTTCCAAACTCCACGTTAAATCGTCAATTATGTAGCAGTAGGTACACACTAAGTAAAAATGTTATCGTCGTCGTCAGAAACCCATTCCGCTTCGTCAACGTCCCCACGCCGGTGAATATCGGCGCGCTCCACTGCTTCTAAGACATACAGCAGGTCGTCGTCCTCGTCCTCGCCGTCCTCGCCTTCGTCCTCATCCGTCCGCTCGTTGTCTGAATCGTCACCGTTTCCGTACGACGCGGTGACCCCCGAGATCTGACAGTCCAATATCTCCTGGTCCGTCGGGCCCCATGGCGGCAGGTCTCCAGCGTAGGGTAGAGCATCCAACGACTTTCTCCACAATACGCAAAGCTGTAGCAGCTCCTCCCGCCTCAGCTCGAACTGATACCGCAAAGCTCCTGAGTTACAGTTGTAAGTTTGACCGCGCGCACCCCCACACCACGTTCGCAGACGTACCTTGCGACATGTCAATGAGCTGTGATACAGCGTCCCATTCGATAGCGAACCACTGCTGCATATGCCTCCGTTCTCGCTGCAGTCGCGGCGCCTCTTCTTCGCAACGGTCCTTCTGCAGCATCGCACGGATGCCTGCCCGGACCTTGGCGTCGACCAGCCAAAGTTCAGGCGTGGTGTCGTCATCCAATCCCAGATCTTGCCAGATCACGTCGTCTACGTCCAGCTGGTAGATACCCTTCGCCGGAATCGGAGTCGGAGCCACCGCACCTCCCGGGGCTTTCTTCGCCTTGATCAACGTCGATATGTCGGCGCAGAGCTTGTTGTATTCCTTGACCGTGTTGTTGATAGTCGGCTCCCGGCGCTTGATCGCTGCACCAGCGTGGTCGTTGCGCTGGTTCTCTAGATAGACCAAAACCCTGGTTCAGCGCAAAATATAACACGAATGAAATGTCCTGACCACTTCTCGAGCGGCGAAACGACCTCTCGATCAGGTCCAACTCGAATTTGCGTTCGCGCAGCCTCTGGCGCAGCCGTTCCTTCAGGACCTTCGTGTTCATCCGTGCGGCGTAGTATTCGCTGTGGCGAAGTTTCTGGAGCATGGTGGCGTCTGTGACCCCCAAGTGCTGCTCGAGTCGCCGCAGTTTTTGCTGGGCGTTCTTCCAAGCCTGGTGCGCGTCCGCGTAGAGCAGTACATGGGCAGTGGACTTAGGATCTCCCAGCGCCTCTTGCAAGACGGTCATTGTCTGGAACAACGCGTCCACTCGCTTGCGCAGGAGGATCACTTCTTCAACAGCCGCAGTTCCTCGCGCTTTTGACCGTCCTGTGATACATTCGACAGTCAGCTCGGTCACAGATTATTAACCCAATAAAACTTACTTTGCGCCGGCTTCGTTTGTGCCTCCACTTGCTTCTTCCACTCGCTTCTAAGGGCCGCTTCCGTGAAACCACAGGTCGCCAGCTCTTGTCGGCCTCCTGGAGTTTCTCCTCGCAGTGCACAGTCCGGCGTACGAGCCACGTCCCGAGGCGTCCAAGGCTGGCTTTGTCTGCATGCTCCACTTGACTATCAATCGTGTGCAGGCGATTGTGATACTATCTAACCGTCAATACAAGCTACGATTCATAGCGGAACAACACGTACACCAGCGACTCGTAGGTGGGGAATAAGTTTGCTGATCGAATGCCAAAAGCGCTCGCACCCCTCCCCGTTGGTGAAGCCGAAGCCGCGGCACTTGAGGGGGTGGTAAATTAGCTGACATGCCCAGCGATGCGCAAACGTGTGAAAAACGGAAACCGCGAAGAGTATCCGGTCGAGGTAGCGGTTGAGGAAGCCAAACTTGATGCAAGAGCGATGTAATTGGCATGCAATGTCGTACAACACGCCCACCCGAATGGCGGGGGGAAGATGCTGAAATAATGTCTCTAGGAGAGCTAGCGCGTAGTACTGCTTTTCCCCGGGCGTCCGCATGTTGACCAACCACAGCACACGGTCGTGGCGGCATAAGAGAGCCATGATCCCAGTGTCGTCGAAGAATTGCGTGCTCGCCCCTTCACGTTTCTCGTCTGCTGCTTTGAAGGAGGACTCGCATTCGTTCAGCACCGACCGTGGAACCTTCATGTCCCCTTCATAGCCGTCATCCTCCTCCTCCACACGTGGCTGCTTCGCCTTGGGAGGTTTTGCCGGACGGACGCCCTCCACATGCGCATCCATTTTTTGAGCCGTCGCTTCGGGCACGAAGTGCGTCCCCGGGTGTGTCCGCGCTGGGTCTCGTCCCCCCTGCTTGCGCCTCCGCTTTTGGGTGAAGCAAGCGTCGAGGCAGACATCCATGTCCACCTTCTGTGAGGGGTCATGCTCCAGATCACCGAAACAAGCAGGGCAGCGACTTATGAGATAGTCGCTAGGGCGACTACGAGGTGGGGCCTCAGGAAAGGGATTGGGAGCGGTTTCCGCCTCCTCGTCGCTAGTCTCGTCATCGTCGAAGACGTTCGCTCGGGTCCGTTTGCCCTTGGGAGTATCGGCATCCACATTGGAGCGACGGGGAAAGGGGGCGGTCGGGCTAGAACCGGATGGCACTGGGGTGGATGGACGGGTGGCATCCGGAGAGGATACAGGGGGGTCTATCTCGTCGCTGCGTAATAGTTGGCGCGCCGCATTCATCAGCTTGTCGACCTCTGCTCCAACACCATTTCGCAAAGTCGTATACCACTGCAGT